TACCTCAGATTGTCACCCATTGTCTTCCCTGTCCCCTCGGTGATGTCTTCCCATCTCTCCATTTGCCTTCCTCTCTTCCCTTGTACGGTTCCTAGTAGGATTGTTTTGGCAAGTCCTGTGGATCTTGTGACATGCCCATATAATATACCACTTTGATTTTCGTCTCTTCACTGTGGTCAGTAGATCTTCATGCTGCCTCACTGCGTTTGTGATTACCGGTATGTGTAGAAATATATAAACATTAAAGAGGAACAGAGTCAACAAAAACATCAAATCTGTCCCCCTGGTTTGATGCACCCCGCATAATTTAGCAAAATTTGAATTTTTTTGTGCTTAATTTCTGATTATTTTCCTGTATCATTTTTGTTAAAATTAACATTAACAGAGTTACATAATTTCACATTTTTGGGTTGTTTGCATAAAACGACGGAGACAGTCAAATATAAATCTTGTTCTCCCAGAGAGAAGTTGGTATCTTTTTTCCATTGCATAGTCTCCTCTCCCCCAGTCCAATCCTTGTGTACATCAGCACAAAAACGGTCATTTAGAGCGAGGAAAAAGTAAGACAGGACAGAAAAAAAGAGAGGGAAACTTGAAAAGAAGCAGGACATTCTGGACATATATATATGTGAGGCAACGTGGTGGAATCAGGCTCTCGTCAAAAATAATCAAAGTGGAGAAACTTGCATTTTTCCACAGGTTTGTGAATTTGTATCGAATTTTCGGTTTTTGGCTGAACACCTTTCATGCCCACTAAAGAACTCAATTCTGTGTGGATTTTTCTAGAAAACGTTGATTAAATTCACAAAAAATGTAAATTTTCAGTTACCCCGGACTCTTAAGCTATGGAAATAAATAATCTTTGGCAGCCATTTTCTCACTAATTATACCTCTAAAAACAGGTGACCCCCACCTCCTTTCGCAAATATCTCGACTTGTATTCAAGATAAATGTTGGTTTGTTTTTTTTTCATCCAAATAAAGACAAGTGAATAAGCTGTAAGATGATACCAATAACTCTACATGCCTCAAAATTGACGACAGCCTGATTCCGCCATGCTGCCTCACATATCAGTGCCAGTGGCGCCCTTCAACCAATAGTTTCTGTCTCAGAAAAAGGAAAAGAAAGATCTTCAAAAAATGGCGGTCTTCACATGAAAATCATTAGGTAGAACTGAAAATATTTGATTCTGAAAACAAGGCAAATTTTACAACCTGATAAAATAAAAACTACTGGCTATCTGTTTTAATAAATTATGAAACTTCAAGAAGTACTATTGTTTTGAAATTCTGAACCCCTATATATATGTTCACTCCATCCCTCTTAGAGAATGTACATTTGCTGCTCAATGTGGTGAATGAACAAGTACGTGTACAACTGGAATGAGCTTATCATACATTTTATCCCAAATCACTGTTTGCATCAACAAATTTCATGGGAGATAACCCGATTATATATGTTAAATCATTATCTTCATGGTGTCCTTCAAGTTTTAGTTATTTTCGAATTTCATTTCCAGTTAAGTAGTGAAAAATAAAAACAAAGCTTATAATATTGAATCTTTGCTTTAGTAGAGGTTTTATGGCACTCGCAACTGCAAAACGTCATATGAGCGCTAAGGGGTGGATGTCAACAGAGAAGTCCCTACAGGGAATCAGACTTACTCTGCTCACCTCTCTATTGAATCTACTTTAATTTAAAAGGAAAAAACCCCATCACATTTGAATGTTACAAGCAATTCAATCTTGTAGACTGCTGTTGTCAGAATATACTGCACACAATATTTATTGCTGCTCAAAGCGTTTATGAGGCCCAACATTGATGCTAGGAGTATGCTATACAAAACAAATCTTATGTTTTAGTACAATTGGTTCAAGGGGCAAATTGGGTCAAGTTTTACAGATAACGAATGTTCCCAAACATTCAGTGTTTTAAATTAATCACCCACGATAACAATTCCATCACAAACAGTATTTGGACACATATAGTATATATGAAGTCATTTCTTATTGAGCAAAGCAACAGAAACTCGTGCCTTCCAAATACATGTATGGAAATTCTACAAAGTTCAAATCACATTCAGCATGTCCATGTACTATGTAGCTTTCCCAAGACACAAAAATACTTCATAGTCAAATAAATGATAAACTTTGAAAATATTTTTGACCAGCTTGAGGAAAAAAATTACCAATATATTTCCTCACACCCCAAATGATCCATCCACATCTTTTGAGTCTATACACACTCCTGTCAATGGCAAACCACTCTTAGTTTTAGTAAGGCTTTACGGCACTCGAACTGCATAAGGTCATATGAGCGCCAAGGGGTGGATGTCAACAGAGAAATCCAAATCGAGGAATCAGGCTTACTCTGTTCACCTCTCTAGCCTCAACAGCACAAAGTCTGCTTTGACTATCAAAGCACCCTGGAAATAGCAGTTCACAAGAGTGTGACAAACATACAAAAGAGGTAGAGGAAAATGACGATAGTCAGGATGAGGAAAGAAAAAGCAGCAGTTCCCACTGCAAACGATTCTGGAAGATAAAATTCGACTACTTACTAATAGAGACACCACAAAACATGAAAAAAAAATTACAAAGAAAGGGAAGTTGTTGAAGGCTGTTTTATTTTTACCTAAGCACATACCAAGCAAAAGAAGAAAATGTACATATAATAATATATTTCATTATTTAGGCAACGCAGCAACAAATTTTCTTTTTGACCAGGATACAGGTTCGCAGTTCTCCTTGCAGTCTGTCTGACCATGACTTGAAAAGATATAACAAATCAGCCACGAGCCTCTACAAGTGAAACTTCCGTCTGCTTGTATCCATCTCATGACGCTGTTGAGAGAAAAAAAAATATAACTCTAATTTAAAAGTCTATTTCACTGGCAAAACACAGCTGAACTAGCTCTAACTCTAACTGCCACCTTTCCAAGACAATCGTCTGTACAAATGTCCACTTCCCACTCCCCCTGTTGCATTTCTTTTCAGAACTTTCTTACTTTTACATCTACTTTTTCCTCCTCCGTTGCCGTTAAGCGTCGAGGGGAGATGCAGTTTTCTATGGTAGGCCAACTCCGAAGCTCTTTCAGTTGTAATATTGCTTTTTCTCAGGGTTTCCTTGACACCCTCGATCCACCCTTTGCGTGGTCTACCTCTTCCTTTATAGCCTGAGTGCTTGTTGTTGTAGGCTCACGAGGCTGGCTGGCCAGGTGACATATGTAACAGGTGGCCAAACCATTTTATTCTCTGTCTTTCTATATAATGCAGGCAAGACTCAATACCGATAGCTGCTCTTACTTCATTTCTCTGCCTATATTTCGGTATTATTATTATGAAGACTGCAATCAAATTACTTTTTGGCAATTGCCAAAACTAGGTCTCTTTTACCAGGAGTTCATCATTTATTAGATGAAGAACTATCAAAATAGTTTCACTTGTTTTGATTTAATGACAGACTTGCCTACTTAAAAATTTGAAAATCAGTAACAATTACCATTTATTTCAGGAACAAATGGTAAAATTCTGAAACAGTGTATAACTTTATCAGGGTGTCCAGCAATATTTCCTGAAAAAATTTACTACCTGGAAAAAAATTTACTACCCAGCAAATCAAACCCCACACCAGCTCGAAAAAGGGAGTTAATTTGCGCCATCAATAACATATACATTATTATTACATAACATATGGAACGAAAAAAACACACAACAAAGTCCAGTCGACAAAATGGAGGATAGACAGACGATCGCAAGCTTGCTTGCAACTAGATTTACTTTTAGTAAGGTTTTTAAGGCGCTTGCAACTGCATAGGTGATATGAGCGACAAGGGGTGGATGTCAACAGAGAAGTCCAAACAGGAAATCAAGCTTCGACTATCAAGGCACCCCGGAAATAGTAGTTCACAAGCGTGACAAACATACAAAAGAAGTAGAGGAAAATGATGATAGTAAAGAAGAGGACAGAAAAGGCAGCAGTTCCCCCTACGCTGGTCCAGCACAGTATGAGCATGACATTGATAAATCAGCCCATTTACAATTCTACTGTACATAAGAACATGTTAATATCCTCCCTTTGGGAATGGCCTAAAGACGTTTCAGTCAGTAGCACTGCCCTGGTGGAGGTGGGAGGGGGAGGGGGGGTAGATTTATACCTAATGTGTACACACAGGGTGACTGCCAAACCGGCTTCTCCATTTTCCAGGGCCATGTTACACAACAACAATGCGCACACACGCGTACACACACACACACACGTAATGACTCAAGTAAACCTATTCAGTGTGAGAGGTGTAAGAACTGTGAGAGGGTAAGAGACAGTTACACTGAAAATCTGCCAGTCTTGAACAGAAAGCTACAATATTGTTCTAATTTACTATCACCCAACAAATGAAACGCGAACACTTTATTTCAATAACACGGCTTACAAGGTATGAAGGATCCCGATTCCACACAAGGCCTGCACCAACGCGCGCTTTGCAGAGAGCTCTAAATCTAATCAAAATTCTAAAATTTGCTTACAGTTTTTGTCCTCTGGTGTTGCCTTCATCCGCTCCCCCCCCCTCCCCCGAGTGTCTCTTTAAAAAAATCAATAATCCCTGCCCTACTCCGTAGTCCTATACTTCGCAACGCTCGACTTTTTAATGAACTTTGGCAACCCCAACAAACGCCGGTGCTCACCGATGCCGTACCTTGTAGTGCCTCGCACGAAGGTTCACTGACCTGTCACGCTGGCGAACCCGACAATCTAAAAATCAGACAAAGCTTGTATTTTTTTTTCACCCCCCCCCCAACCCTACCCCCACAAGTGACAGCACGGTGAAGAGTCCGAGTAATTATTAATTTTATTTGCACGGCGACAAAGCGGGTATTATACTGTACAACCTGCATATTACAAATGTTGCGTTATCAGTTTATCTACGCCAAATTTCAGGGTGGTAACGAAAGCAGATCTTGATTTTCACGATCGAGCCTCGGTGTCACATACACTTCCACCTGCCGCCATAGCCGGCTTTTTGCGTGAAACGTACTCTCGGACGGGGAAAAGGTGAACGAATAATTATATCACAATCACGACCGGCAAAAACGGAGTCATGTACCTCGGCTAGGGTTCACTGAAAAGTCTTGCTGGCTTCATCACTCAGTATGCAGGCTAATTTACGACCGTTTACCAAATTTTTACTACCTTCAAAGCAAATTTACTACCATTTACGACCTTTACGACCAGGGCGCCGAATTTACGACTTTTTTACGACTTTACTGGACACCCTACTTTATGGAAAAGTAAGCATAACTGACTCAGGCCTACCTGTTTAAATATCTAGATCTAGATTTCTACGTTAAAACGATTGAATTGCACAAGGCACGATGCTGTTTATCTATGTTCACTTCAAATTACTATCAACTTTGTGACTTGTGAAATCCTAGCGCGATAGCCTATTAGGCGTCTTAGGGCCTATCATACGCGTCACCTTTTGCTTCGTTTTCATTTTCAACATCAACCTTGACCTTCGACCTTTGAAAAGGGCCTAGCCCTTAAATTTTTTTTTACTTAAACAAAAAAACGAACCATAGACTATTTGACCGCCTGACACAATTGTGACCCGCTGAACTTACCATAAACCCAGCGGCATGGTCACAGGCAGCGTGCTTGTCACTTTGCCAGCCAACTAGGCTGGGGCTTCCCCACAGAGAGCAAAAGTAGGTCATCCACTGATTGCACTCATTAGCAGCGCTTAGTTAACGCAGGATTATGACAGGTAGGCCTACCTGTGTTCGAAGTTGTGCTCCCCAGCTACCTGACCGTAATTTTTTTTCTCTCATTATTTTTTTTAAGGATGAAGTATGCCATATCAT